CATATATGGCATAGCAAGTTTTGAATAAGTAAACCCACCTGGTATAGCAACGGAAATATGGCACACAATGGGAGTAGGCAGCGAGCACGGCTCGTCAGACACCTACAATAATTATTATACTAAGATCAATACTTTTGACCTTAGAGAAACATTCACAATTACTCTTGGTCGAACTTGGTTCAACCAAGTAGATCGTGAAGTTCCTTGGATATTGGAATACTTGGACTCGACTCGACCAATTACGAACAAATACACCAATTCAAGAAGGTCGGGGAACCTATTGAGTTAAGTTTTGAAACTTTAACATAAAATCCATCTCACTGGACTTAACAAAACCACCAAGTTTCAGCCCCAAACTCATTATACACAAATTTATAAAATTCAAACTCGATTTCAACATAAACGAGCATAAAATCAGAAGCCTGACCTAATGAATGAATTTGTGTTTGAAATTTTTAATGGAGCAATTACAGCAGGTAAGGACCAACCTATAAAAATTATAGCTATTAACATCAAATACACGAATTATGAAAATTCATACGGTTTTCTGCAGTTTACGAATTTTAATCAAAACAGAACCAATTCGAACTCCGAAAATTCCAATATTTTTACAGCATGAAAATACACATGAAACAAGCCTCTCAGCCAAATATCAGAAATTTCTAGCAACTAATCAATTTATCATGATTAAAACAAGATTCAACAGAAAGCTACAAATAATTATTTACCCTAGCTAACTAAGTCCAAAAATCATGAAATTTTTATACAACATCAAAGTAATACAGAGAAACAGCATATTTAAAAATTAGCTGTTTTGGAGAACAAATCAATTTATCATGCAATTAATACGGTTCTGCCCAGAAATCGAAATAATTAATTGAAATAGCTACAGGTGGAATTAAATTCTGAAATTTTTACACGACATGTAGTATCAACACAGGACGTCACATATGCAATTTCATGGCAATTGGAGTAGCATGCGATTTATCATGAATTTAACAAATATTCAGCAGCTAGTCGACTTACAAAAACCCACACAAGACTCGAAACAACACATTTTCGTCCAAGGCTTTTTCCATAAGGCCAGGAACTCATCCAATTTCCAAAATCCACAGTCCTACACGATTTTGATAGGATTTCATATGATCTTACATGAATCAAATAAAATCCCTCGAAAATCACATAACATATAAGCCGAACAAGCACATTATCAATAAAGCTCGAATACGCGAATAAACGAAAGGGTAAATCGAGCTTCAGTACCGTTCTCGAGATTAACACGCGACAACGAACGAGAAGACAGCTAAGACGGACTGTTCGGAGGCCGGGAGTACGCTC